AAGAATGGTCCTTTAAACTTGGTGAACATATCATGTAAAGCATCATCTGGAGGCTGACAGCAGTTGTCCCAGGTGATCCTCAGTTGAGTCATCTGAGCAGCGGCTCACTTATCCTTTTGTTGTTCCACTTCCACAGTCTGTCTTCATGTTTTGGTCCCTGGAGCCCAGCGTCCAATCGATGGCGCTGCACCACTTCCTGGACAGTTAGCCTTGACGAAGGGCCGTGTATCCGGAGAGACCTGCTGCAGTTCATCGTGGGATATCATGGTTAAAAATGAGAATAAAGGTGTGAGTGAGGAGGACGGAGCTTTCCCACCGACTGGGCGTCTTAATTCTCCATCAATCTTCGAAGTTACCGACGATTTGAAGTGAAGTAGGATTTCTTTTAAGGCTCATTGACCTTTCAATTTGCAGCTCGACATCTTGGTGTCAAAGCCCACTTCCCTGCTCAAAGGCAGACACTGGCCACTTCACCACATTCCAAAAACCTCGGGTAAATGAAGTGATCTGCAGCCTCAGAACCTTCTTCTAATTTACTCCCGTCAGACTACAAAGCTTCACTCCGCTCCACAGGGAGCTGGAGGAAATGCAAAGCATCTTGAGAGTGGAAAAGAACAACAAGAGAAAAAAAGAACCTTGGACGTCAGTTTTTCCGGTGTTTTTTTGGCCCCAGAGACAGGAGTGTAATGAGATGCATCCGTTTGGACCTTCTGTCTGAGCTTGACAAAAGAGGAAGAGTTCCTTCTTTGAAAAAGGAGCCTGCATTAACCCATGCACTGCAATTGCATTCATTACAATTTGCCTTTGTGATGCTGTATAATGCACCATTAAAGTTACAGACGTGACAAAGCCTGTGAGTGGGAAGAGAAAACGTGCTGCGCTCGAGGGAAATGGAAATATCAAGGCACTTTGTGTGTTTCCATGGGAGGAACAATAGTTTAAATCATCAATGAAACAACAACAAAAAAAACTCAAGTTTATGGACAGTAAGGCTGTAGTTGCCACTTTAAGTAAAGAAGAAATATGTTGTGTGTATATATATATATATATATATATTATATACATATATATAATAAAATATTTTAGATTTTCTTTTAATATAATCTATCTGCAATTTATCTTTTCTTTTGCCCTCATTAACACTAAAAAAAATGTTGAAATTAGTTTTTCTTGAAATTAGTTTGTTCATGAAAAATGAGGTAAAATAAGAATTGTTCATTTTCATGACACTTTAAATTTGGTGACCTTGAAAAAGGGAGAAAATTGATTGGATAAAGCAGCCGGGTCCAGTACAGATCAAACTGGTCTCTGACTTAAGATGACTTTTACAATGGGGTGAGTTAATTAATTTTCTTTGCTGTTGAGAGTGTTAAAAGTTACTTTTAAAACAGCTCAGTACTTGACGTACCACTGTAACTATAACCTGCAAGTGGAAAAAAAAAACTCATTTTATATATAGGGTCTACAACTTAGACATAGACATATGCCCCGCTAACACATGCCTCTGCACTCTTGCGGGGAATATTTGAAGGACAGGAACCCTGAGGGAGAGCTGGTTTTGAGAGTTTAGCTGAGGTTCAGTCCTGGCGGCACTGAGGTGTGAGGTAAACACCTCGGAGGTCAGCGTGCATGCCTAATGTTTCCTTTGGTGGGGAGAGGTGTCTGATGACAGGCTGTCTAGAGAACTCTTCTCCTGCAGTATCTGACTGCTGCAGTCTCCCACAATGTTGACGTCCCTCTGTCCAGCTGTCCACATTTACTCTCCACTTTTTTTTTCCTTTTCGTCCCTATTCTGTCAGGCTTCTTTGTCTGGGTTTAAATTCTTCTGCTGACTCCAGATATCCTTTCAGTATGCATAACGAGAATGACGAGGAAGACGGAACTGTGGAGTCGTCCAGCCCAAAATTCACTTGATTGAGGTCATAGAGAAACTTTTTCCATTTTTTTCCTCGGCCAGGAATAAGCTAATTGTTAGCAACTTTTTCCATTTCTGAAAATCTTGTTTGCTAGGGTTGCAGTATCTGTTGACGTCAGCAGGATGGCAAAGACTTGTTGAGGTGTTTAGTCTTGGTCATTCTGTGAAAAATATTTAAACAGAGGAAACATCACTAAACTAAATGTAACCAAATGGGTAATGACATTTAGGCTAACAGTGCCAGGAAATTGTGGGATAATATGGTAAAAAAAAAAAACAACCAAAAAACCAAAAAAAAAACAAAAAACGTACAAATGATTTCTCCGGGGCTTGTATTTGTAGACCGGCTCGCATGTTTCTCCCACAAGATCTGGGAATTATGAAGTACATTTTCAGGTCAGAATTAAAATAAAAAAAAAATTACTGAACCATTTTTTTTTTAACTTTGTACAACTTTTATGAAATGCATTCTGATGATATAATAATGGCCACTGACATCGATGCACACATGCAGATCAGAATACAAAGATATGTACAAACATGAATTGTTTACTCCGAAGGTGTGTTCAGGCTGAATATAAAGCAAAGTTCCGGGGCAGCACGACTGCGGACTAATTAACTGTGGACATGCACACAGGTTTGGTCAACGGGGGTTGGGGAAGGATGGGGTAGGGCAGCCTCACCTGGGACAAAAGGGTGACCATGCAGGTGACCAATTCTGAAACTTACAACAGAATGTTTTATGCAATGCCACTGGACTGGATTCTGTACGAAGACACCTAACTAGGGTAAAGGACAAATTCTGACTCTGAGCTGCACGTACACACGTACTGTACAAAAGACATGTGCTCTTCACACCCTCATGCCTTGTTAGCCAGTTGTGGCTAACACACCAAAGCAGTGGCTGTAAAAGTCGGGAGCTAAACACCGCTCCCGGTCGTATCTGTGCAAACAAAAGAAAAGAGGGAAATTTGCTTTGCGTCCAGTCTGAGCACACCTTTACACTTATAACTTTAATAGTGGTTTTTACCCCCTGACCTGAGTTCATCATCCAATTATAGCCCATCTCTGTGCTTGGAGAGCAGAAGTGCTATTTGATTGTTTTTGTTTTTTTTTAATTTTTTTTTTTTCAAAAGTCCAGACAAATGGAAGCTAAAAACAGACAGTAATGACTACTGTTGTGTCCCGAGGATAGAAATCACGTTGACATCATTAACTTAGAGCACACACATGGAACATTTATTGCTGTTTAGTCAAGCTTTTAACCTCTAACGTCATTCTCACGGGCACAAGAATTGGTCTCAGAAAGATAACGGGACACATCTCTGAAGCTAAAACAGCCCTTGGTTACTTCGTTTCCCTCTTGATCGTTTAACATTAGCAACAATTTGGACTAACTCCCCTACGTCTCGTACCGACAGACACACATGTACACCCTCACACACACAAACAACGCTATCAACCGAAACATGACACATCATCAAAGTGATTTTGCATCAAAAGGAACCTTGATTTTCTCCCATCATCGCAGTCTTTTGTGGAAATGAAATCGTACGGTAATGAGGAAAACGCTGCAGGTGCAACAGTCCAACTGTAAAAACCAGGCTTACAGATGAACACAAGCCTTTTTCAAGGGTGGAGCAATTACTCGAGAAGACGGGGATCAGAGTGCATGGAAAGATGCAAAGCTTTGTTCATTGGTACCAGCTTGATACCAAACTATAGTGTTGGAGTTGCTACAACATACTGGCTATGTTAAGAAATGGGTATAAGAAATGGACAATAAAAAATAGCATATTGCGTTTCAGAACCATGCTAACGGAAAAACTAATGAGCCCATAGTCCACATGTGATGGGTTGAATCTAAAGTTATAGTTGTGACAGAAATGGTTGGAGCTGTCTTTGAGCCAAATGATACCCATGTTAAATAAATGTGACCGTTCCCATCTCTGGTTGTCCTCAAAAATCCAATATTTAAAAAAAACAACAAAAAAACCCCCAAAGAAAAACAAAGACAAAATCTATGACGGTCATTCCCAAAGAGAGATGTGCTGGAGGGAACAATCATTTCAGCTCAAAAAAAAAAATCTTCTTTTGTTTTTGCTTTGTTTTTCTACATGGTTCACATCTTTTAAAAAAGTTAGAAAAGTGGAAGCCACCAGCAGACAAAACGTCCCAGGAAATCAGTCACCAGAGACTAGACGAGTAAAATGAAATTGTTGCACGTGCCAGTTGTTGTTTTTTTTCTACAAAAATAGTGGAATAGAAATCACATGTTCATGACCCCACATTGACATCTTGATACACTTCTGTATATAGATAAATGCAATTCCATCATGCAGTCCAGGTCCCTTGCAAATGTTTTTTTTTTGGGGGGGTCATCCTAAATTCTTCAGCCTGCTGAGAGGAAGTGATGTCAGAAGGATTGTGCTTAATGTCTCAGTGTATCAGCCCACTGTGATGCAGGTCTGGGTTTGTAAAGGTCCACTCAACCCCGCTCTCTTCTCAAATCTCCATGTGTTTGAGTGAGTGAGAGATGCTGGTAATAGAAAGAAAAACCAACCAATTTCACGAATCTCTCCATGCACGGCTTCACCTTGGCATTTTTTTTTCATTCCTTTTTTCATTTCAGCTGCCACTCAGGACGGCACTGACGGAGGCACAACGCTTTGATCTGACAATGTCTAAATGTAAAGAGGTAAAGTGAAATGATGAGAATAATTTAATTCATGCCTGGGCTACCTGAGGCAGTGCGTTCACACACAGACACACAGCACGTGCGCACACACTTGAACTCTCCTCCACCTCTCGTTTTACTCTGATCTGAGCAGAAGGTCTGGAGCCAGAGTGGGCCGGACCTGTTGTTTCCGTCTGCCAGAGCAGATGGACATTAGATCCGCTCTCTGCTTCCCCAGTAAAACAAACGACCTGTCTTTTTTCTCCTGCACCTAACTTCCCACTTGATGTATTTTGCCATGTCGGAGACCTTGCCCACTTACAATACTTCCTGCACTGCCTCTGGGACATAAACCTAATAAAAACAGTTCTCCTAGTGTGGATAGATTTCTCAGTCTTGGTAATCTTATTTTTTTTTTTTTTTGCTTTTCAAACTTCAGTGAACCCGAGCTGACATCGCGGAGAGCAACAACAAGACTTTTACTCTTGTGTAAAAGTTGAACAACTCTTTGTTTTTTTTGCTCCTGGAGTGAGTCTTCTGTTCACTAACAGCTACCGCCTTTTAAGAGCATTAAAGAAACCGTCATCACGCCAAAGACCTGAGCTCTGCAGGTCACTCCCTCATGGACAGACTACAACCCAGATCACTCCCTTAGTCAGCACAAAACAGGACAGGTGTAGAAAGTGGTTTAAGAGGCAAAATGATTTTAGGATTCTGGTCTTCATCCAGCCTGTCTCTCACTGATGGGAGAAGAGAAAGCGAGAGGGACAGCAGTGGGTGTACATCCAAGGAATGGAAGGACATTAGGAGGAGTAAACAGCAGGTTTCATCTGTTTTCTCGACAAGACCCCAGCGTTGTCTGACGTGAGATCTTTCTTTTTATTTCCTGCTCTTCTTCTTCTTCTATTTCCACTCTGGTATTGCTTCCTCTTTTATCAAACAGCAGCCCAGACCTGGGGTCGGTCAAAAAGCTCTGGGCGTCCATAAATTCTAAGCCCAGCGTCTCCCTGTGGCCCTCTTTGTTCCGAGGCGTCAGAAGCATCCCCCCGTCGTCCAGGTTGCCTGTGCTGTTGCACTTCTTTACCGCTCCTCCGGGGCACAGCAGGGAGCTGGGCGACAGCAGAGATGTAAGTGACAAGCTGCTCAGTGTCTCTGACAAGTGTTCACTGTTCCCAGCCTGGCTGGAGCCACAACCTCCGGTAGATGATCCAATAACGATGCCCAGGTCTTCATCTGATGGGTCAATTGAGTCCTCGCGGTTGTAACCTGGGCTGGTGCTTCCTCTGCCGCTGCTCTGGCTCCGCTGATGGCCCCTAGTGGCCTGAAGGGTTAGAGCTGAGGAGGGACCCGACCGTGGTCTCAGGATCTGCACCGGTGAGGAGAGAATGGTCTCCTCCTTGGGAAGTGGGAGGGGACAGACAGGGGCCGTGGGGAGGGTGGGCATCTCTAGGTTCTGTGGTGGAGAGATGCTGAAGCTTAGTCCCTCTTCTAGGGTGGTCTGGAGACTGCCTTCAGAGCTGCCAGTGGCCAGGGATGAGTCGCTGTGGGAGGGGTACTAAACAGACAATAAATTCAGAGAAGCATGAGTTGAACACTTAATTAATCTAACACTGATTAGAATGATGTTAAATCATTTAAATAGCTGCAAATTATTACGCACTCAGGTGAAAATACATACATACAGAAAATACATAAAGCTGAACTTGTTATATATATATGTATATATATATATATACATATATATATAGTCTACATTCTTTAGGCTATTGTGTTGTATTTTAGATAAAACCTTTGTTCTTGGATAAATTCATATTTTAATATAAATACTTTAATGATGCAGCTAAGACTCTGGGAAGTGCAATTGTTCTTTATGTCGATGGAACTGAATTCAACACGGCCACAAATCTATCCCTCATTGTTTGGTTGAGGTTACTTTTCTCAGGTGACCTTTTTTTTTTTTTACCTGTGTGCACAGCATCTTGCTGTGGGCTCCCGAGGAGCGGAATGAAGCCCAGGAGGCTGGAGAGGTCAGCCTCAATCCCCTTGTCAACCTAAGGCTCCTGCTGCGGGGGGGTGCTGGTATGATTGATCCTGCAGATTGACGGTACTCTGCAGGCAGGTGGAAAAGAGAATAAATATTGTGGATTCCTTGTTATTCTTTTCCAATCAGCCCGTGTCCTCTATTTACTGCAGTTTCCTCAGTGAGTGTGTGTTTTGACATTAACTTAACAAGATATTTGTGTGAAGGCAGATTTATCGAGCGTTAAAAACATTTAGTGTAGAGACAGCAATAAAAGAGAATTTATTCTCAACATTTCCTCACCAGGGCTGCAGCGAGGTGAGCACACAGGCGGCTGATGAGTCTGCAGCGTCGTCACCATCTCTGCACCAGTCCTGCAGGGCGGTCCCAGTCCCTGAACTTGGCTCTGTACCACCGTCTGAGTCTGATGGTTCCCATGACCTCCTCCACCTCCAGCCTCCTCAGAGCTGTGAGAGTCACTGCTGTACCTTCCCTGGAAGAGAACAGGTGTTTTAATGATGGAGGCAGAAACAGAGGTATTTGTGTTGAGTTTCAAGGACAGATCTCTCAGAATGTTTTACAAATAAAAATAATCATATGTATTTAAAAAATTATCCAGACCGTGACGATAGAAGATCATAAAAAATAAATGTCAAAATAAAGATGTGTACGTCAGTGTTTGTCTTTCTTTCTTCTTCTGTCCCTCTCCTTTTCCCCACATCATCTAATGAGGAGGTTTGCAGTCATGCTCGCTGACAGCAGCCTTATCTGGTTACCCAGCTCCACACTGCACTATAGCCTATTACTGAGGAGGATATCTGGGAAGAACTGTTGATAAAGGATGGAGATACTGGAGCGATGTGAAGGTGCAGCCAAGGTATATACAATTACTGGCTGAGTAACACTGAAAAAAAAGATTAAAGGGAAAGGAGATGTGGATTCAGAGGAGAGAGGTATGAAGGCCACCCAGAGCAGTCACTGGGGAGACACGGGGGGAAAGATTTATTCATGGATTTTGTGGTGGGGAGAGACAGGGTAGTTAACAGTGACACAGAGAAAGGGGGAGATAATGTAGACTTAGGAATCCATGGTCTGTATCTGAATTCCACAAGAGAGCTAATGGCACAGCGACAAAAAAGATTTTATAACGGTCATTTGTTTTGAGTGGGAAAAAATCGTCAGCGAACCTTGGCCATTGTTTGAGTGTTTACCCTGTGGGAGGTGTAGGATTACAAAGTACCAGTGCAGCGTGCATGTCCAATACAAGGTAATGCCCGTACCAGGAACTAAGCGCTAGATTTGTGATCCAATTGCCACTGCAGTGGTCAGTGGGCTTCTGTCCCTCACCACACCGAGGCGAGATCCCATCCAGGTGGGAAATTTGTGTAAACATGACAGAGAACATTTAACGCAGCAACAGTATTAGAGCAGGTGCTCAGTTTGTCACACTTATGCAAGTGTGTAGAGTTTCTGGAAAAATGCACCCGTAGGACTCCATTAAAAAGGGGAAGTTAAATGGGTGAAACACTGCTGTTATCATTACCCATGATCCAACCTCACATTCAATTTCTAGCAACGTTGCAAGTCTACAGATGACGAACAACATCCTTGCTGACTCTGGTATTTTCACACACAATATGTATGGCTGGTGAACCAAAACACCAGACATCATGCATTTTTTTATTGTTATAATAACAAGTTTATTGGTCATTGGATTGAAGCTGACACGACGTTAAGTTGTATTCATTTAGTCTTTCTGGTGTAACTCTACTCTGCTGTTACGTCAGAAAGTTCTGAGATCAATGTTATGTAAAAGGTAAAAGGTCTCTCTGGCATTTCATTTTTTCTTACTTAAATTTTTTATATCATTATTTCTCCATCATGAGTTGAGCTGTGTTACGTTTTTTTTTCACCAATAAAAATCAAAGCTGACCTAAAAAAAAAACAAAAAACGAATGATAAGCTGTTCTTATTATTAAAACATTCCAACGGGTTTCAGGTTTAAAATGTTTTTTTTCCTCTTTTAAAATTTGAAAGGCTCTAGATTGAAACAGTGTGACCTGGTTCTTCAGACATCCCTCAGAATTCTACAAACTAGAAAATTCTGATGGAGACAACTTTTTGTGCTTAGACTTCAGTGGCTATGTGAAAAAAATACCTTATATTTTTAATGAATAAAGTAATTATAAATATAACTGACATCACCAGGCTTCTATTAGATTAGATTTTTTGGTAATAAAATTGGTTTTCACTCACATATGTGGTTTAATTATTGTGCATTTTCCTCTAAATAGGAATGAAGTCTGTGTCATTACTAACATATGTAACACAGTACATCTAGTGAGAAGTTCCCTAATATTTAACTGGACTATTTCCACTCCAGTCTGTGTACTCACCTTGCCCTCCCGTGTCAGTATGTGGTAGGCCGTGTGTTCATCCAGGCTGAGGTCATCCGGCAAGGCGGGGGACGAGGACTTGTCTGATATCTGCTCTGATTTCAGTGACGCCTGCTCAATCTCTGCCATCCTGATCTGCTTCAAGGGAATGACGTGAGTTATTTATGACACTTGACGGCTTTCATCATTGCACATTTCACATGAATGCACATGAACTTAACATTTAACATTCAGCAAAGATCTATTGTGCATGATTTATTCATTTTTACAGTTTGTCTTGGAGGCCAACAGAGAGACTACACAGAGACGAGACTTGGCATGACAGCAGATGTTGACAAAAGTGGCCACAATACAGTGGCAGCCGTCTGCAAAGAGAGCAGTATAAGAGATTTCACATAAGACTCAGGATGTTCTCAGCATTTCTAAGGTAAATAACACATGCAAATATGTTCACAGCAAGCAGTGGGTGTGCTTTCCAAGGTCAGAGCCAGTGTTAAACTAGGAAAATCATTAGTCCATTAAAACGCTTTTCAAGGTCAGAGCCAGAGCCAACTAGGAAAATCATTAGTCCATTAAAAATCATATCGTGCCCAGAGACGGCGTACAGACATGACAGAGTACAAGATGGCACCTGACGTGACCGATCACCACGACGTACATGATAATGATGGAGGGAGTGACAGAAACACGAGGCTGGATGTGAGGACAAGAAGACAGAAGACACAGATGAGGAGCCGACAACCTTCAACGCCAATAGAATTAATAGAAAAGTGGTAGCAATGACTCTAACAGTTAGCATCTCTTGCTCAACACTAGCTCCAGCTAAGTCTGTTTGATCAGTGCTGCAGGTAATTCTGCCCACAAACCACTTTAACTCATTTGGAATTATCACAGCACGACTCCACTGTAGGATGGAGTTCCTCTGCTCACTCTCCTCTCTCTGCCTGTGCAGCAGAGCTAACAGAGCAGGAGTGGAATTACAGAGTGTGTGTGTGTGGCAGGGTGTGGGGGTTGGCAGCGGGGTTGTGTGCTACAGTGCGCCCATGCTCTGTTTCTTTAGGGATTTACTGAATATTGAAGACAGACCGCAAAGACTGAATTCAAAAAGCTTCACTTATAAAAGAGTGCAGTGAAATTCAATGGCCTGAAGCCCAGGAGTGACACTGCATTAGCATGTGCCTGTAAATGGATGAGAGATTCGTACACAATAGCTCATGCATGCATCAGTAAATAACCTCCGCCAGGTCTAAAAATAATTTAAAGAAATTTAAACCATGACTTGTATCAGTTTCATACACATTTGTGAAACTCAAATCATACACCAAACACAATCACAACTACACTTAATATCATTCTGCTGTTTTTCAAACTGGACCACAAATACCTCCAAAAATAAGTGAGAGTCTGCTGCTGCCGTTGACCGCAGGTTCATAAAAGAACAAATGAAACAATGTATGATGAGTTTTTTTTTCTTGGCTGCACTTCCCTCATCTCCTGAGAGGAAGCAGAAGATACATGCATCTACAGTACTATTGAATTATCATGACCTAACAGAAAAAGAACAATTTTTTTAAGTTATTTGCAGCTAAAACTGATGAGTTTCTTGTTTGTGAAAACAGGAAATGTATTTTTTAAGTTATTTGCAGCTCTAATTTGCAGTTTCTTGTTTGTGAAAACAGGAAATGATTGTATTGTAAATCCATTTCCCCCCCAAAATATTTTTCTAGTTAAAACACAGTATATTCTGTATAGGTAGAATTCACACATTATCCAGAAATATTACTCACAATAAAAACTGCTTGGCATAAACCAAAAACTGTTTTTTTAAACATTTGGGACTGGGGAAAAAAAATATATATATAACTATAAAATATTTTACACTTCTCACCAAGAAAATCATTCCTTATCAGTGTCTAAGTGTGGCAGATCCTAGGTCTGTATTAGAGGTAGTTGATGGATTAATATGCACAAGCACACTGCACCCAGATGTCAACTGGCTGCAGCATCATGGTGTCCTATTTAAAGAGCTGCAGCTTTTTGAAGCCTAACGACAGCATCTGAAATATGCACAAAATACGATTTGCCCTTAAAAAAAGTTATAATTTTAACCCCTAACATTTTTATCTCCTCTGTGTCTGTTCCACTATATTTTTTGCCTTCATATAAATATAAAGACATTTTTCTCTTAATATTATGGACACAAAAAAGTGTGACTTTGTGAAAAATAATAATATTCATGACACAAACAGAAACAGAAAGAACATTAAGTTCTTCCTCCGCCCCAAAAAAAATTCAAATGATCTCAGGAATCACAGAGCACCAGCTTGAACCGATTTCTGAGTTTTTCTCCTTTGCTTTAATTTTTATTTCCTTGTATTTTTCTGCTGCTTAAAGATTTGCTTAAATGATACTGTTTACGCTGATGCACTTTTAACTGCAACTTCCAAAAGAAAGTGTGATTTCTGTGGGAAAAAAAACCACATGAGTTGCCATTTAAAAAATAAATATTTGATTTGAACTGCAGCCCTCCAACTGGGACACAACAATTTTCTGCCAGGCACACAAACACATCAATTTCATGTTTAAAGGTCAGGATTTACACAATCTGATGGGCAGGATCAAGTGAAACAACAACACAGGATCAGATAAAGTTATTTAAAAGGAAGAGGGGAGTAAGCGGACCAGCGGGCAGAGGAGCTGACGGAGAAGGAGTCATGTAAAAGAAGGAGGAATGATTGACGATTTGACAGCATTTGCAGACAGGCAGAAAGGCGGACTGACAGGTGAGGAGGTTCGGAACCCATTTATTGCTTCTTCTGTGCTGACCCGCTGCACTTTGTCATGTTGATGGACATCACTGGCACAAGACAGTAAATCTGTGAGTCAACCTCACACCATATCTCTGGTGTAGAATACACGCAATGAGATACAGACACGTAGATAAAGACGGTTATTTTTTTTAAGGCGTGCGGGTCAGGGCTGGACGTTGTTATAACTCAATCTGCCAAAAAATTCTATTATGTTGCATCATAATTCAGTAATTGACATGCTTTGTATAACACTGTCGTGAGCAACTTCTCTCACAGACGGCCTGATTGTATTTAATTAATTGAGCGCTGAACGCAAGACAGAGCAAGACTGACGCAACACGACATGCACGCATGCACGCAAGCAGATCACAAACTTTTAGAATTTCTGACAATGTGTATATCTACTGTATATATAAATGTATTATATGCTTTAGTATCAAAGGACCGACTAAAAGTATTGCTACTCAGCATCCCCCAGCTGCTCTAACATTTATTTATATTTTTTTCAGGCCTATACAGTCTTTGATTTTCATCTAGGAAAAGTTTGAGGACTAAGAGAAGCAAAATTAATCATTTTCAGCAGCTAACTCCTCCTTCGCATCAAAAATAGTAAGATGCAAAATTAATAACAATTTTCAGCACCTAACTCCTCCTTCGCATCAAAAATAGTCATTTTTTGTTTTTAAAAACTTCCTGCCCTTATTTAATATTGCAATCTTCCACTAATGCAGTGAACTGAACATTGTGCACTCAGTCACTGAACACAGCTGTCACTCCAGAGAACTGAGGCAACAGTGAGTGAGGGTGACTGCATATCAGCCAGCAGGTTACCCTTCATTTTCCTTGAATCACCTCAGGGAAAATATTACCTTTTTATGGATAAGTGAAAAGATTTGGTTCAGGCTAAGATGGTGTTTCAGCTGTGCTACCAAGACATGTTGTGAAATAGAAATATGTGGACCATAATAATAAAAAAATAAAAATAAAAATAAAAAATCACATGCTGGAGAGAGAGAGGTGCAGGTGTGTTTGTTAATGTGCACTGCCTGCATTCACGTGTCACATGTACCTCTTGGGGGTGGCTCTTGCACTCTTTACAGATGGACTGAGGGGAGGAGTAGTGGTGGAAAACAGAACCCGAGAGGTTGTCGATCATCAGCATCTCCCCCTCTAAGGTGTCCGTGATGAGCAGAGACACGCTGTCCAACCACTGGCTCTCCTGGAACGTACATTACAAACACACACACACGCACACAGACATAACACACAGAAACATACACACGGGACGCAGGCCAGGTGACCAGTATATTGCACGCAAGGCGGGCAAACATGTGCACATGCGGACATGCGAGAACAAAGAACACGCAGGGAAATGCATACCGTTGATTGAGAGGGGCATAAAAATGTTTGTGTGTACACGCAGGTATTATGCTTTTTCGGACTCAGGAATATATTCAGTCACACATATATGTTCACCCACAAGTATTGATTATAAAACAATTTAAAACTAAAAAAAATACATCCAATCATATCACGTATATATAAACAAGAACAAATCCTCTGATCACTCTGACTCAGACAGACAGTCGTGTTTTTAAAACTGTAAAAATAATTCATAGAGTGCTGAACGAATGAATTATTATTAGGAATTATTATTTTTGTCTTGATCAGCCAAGATTAATCATGATTAATTAGTTGACATTATTTACTCAACCTCGATGATCAGTCTGTGACTCGATCGAGTTGAGGACCTTTTCCTAAATGATAACCCTCCTGGCTCAGATTTTATTTAGGTTTCTAAAAACTCCTATTGGAATAGTCAGGAACCACCTCCAGTAACTATTTTTCACTTAATCAACAGTGTCAAACTAACCAGTCCCACGACGGTTTATCCCCAGTTCACATTCCCTTTAAGAACACTTTTATGTGTTTTCGGTGCCTGCAAAAACTCTTGACAGCAAAAAATAACAGCGGGTAGAACCTGAAACACACAGTCAAACCAGGTCAGTCCTCTGCTGTTCCCACACTGGTCTATTTCTACAACACTACAACATTACTTATAGCACTCTTCACATTACTTATGCAACCACACATTTTAGACTCACACAGCTGCGATACAATGGCTCTTGGCAAACATTATATATGTTAGCAGTCAAGCAGGCACTGCACACAGAGAGAGTATTATGAATGTCCCATCCTGATGCTGGTTTATCAAAGACAAAACTGCTGCCACATCAGGCTAAGTGTGAAAGTATGAACACCAGCCTCCCTCCTCTTTTGTCATAGACAATATCGTCCTGTGACAGTGTACTCTGTGTAGGGGCGGAGCCTCTGGTATATAATGTTTGATTGACTGCAGTGACCTACGTGCTGCCCTTCATTAATAACTGTATTAGTGGACAACAATAGGGAGCATCAATAGGGAATAGGAGTTCTCAGAGAGAGAGGGGGAGAGAGAGAGAGAGAGAGAGAGAGAGAGAGAGAGAGCAGATTGATGAAATTAATTACTCTCTCTATCTGATTTTCACTGGCAGAGCCATCATCTCTCCTCTCCTATCTCCTCCTTACCAGAGGTATGTGGATATGGAATTTCTGTTATGTTTTTTAATATATATATATAAATATAAATAACTAAACAGACTTGTTAAAACGAGGGTTAAATTGACACAATCACAACATCTCTTCCAAGGAAATAACATTTTTAAATAAGATGCCACAAAGTCGCTGGTGTGCCCACGGTGCAGGATAAAAAAAAAAATAAAAAAAACGGCAATCTTAAAACCTCTAAGCTGCTCTTGTTCTATAAAATCATAAACTGGTAAATAATTTATGGGCAAAAGCGAAACATTCAACATCTGCAGTGTATAAAATGAAGGGATTGTAACCTGAAGGCTTCTCTCCCAAATGTTAGACTTAAATGTCTGATATGAATATTAAAAAAATGTAATATAAAAGTATATCAAGTATTTCTACTGGAACTGGGACCTGCAGCTACAATTATGATGTCAAAGACCAAATGTATGAAAGGCCTGCACTTAAATACTATAAAATGAACGTAATATGTTTACAAAAATAACTGCCCGCAGTTTTGTTAAATGCACACAAACACACTGTTTTTCCACTGCCCGTTCAGCCACTGTTTGTTTGGCATTTCATTCTAATTTCTCATCCAACACGGAGCTAAAAATGACTCAGCGCAGCCAAATTTAGCTACAAAGGTGAAACCCTTGATAGCAGCCAGTGACTCATCTTCATATGCAGTGGCGTCCATACCTCAGACCATCATTAGTGGTTGCATAATCAAAGTGCGAGTCCCAGCCAGTCTGATCGTTTAAAAAAAAAAAAAAAAATTGCAAGCGCTGCACCTAAAAACGGCTTAGCAAGTAAAGTTGGCTGTCTCTCTCCCGGTTGCCATGACTACAGCAATGAGGGAGAAATTCAATCTTCACTTGGATAAATAAAAGCATATGACCTGGGCTTGACTCTCCTGTGCTGAATCTCCCAAATCACGTTTGTGAGTTTGATTAAACTTTGGAAAATGGCTGATACCTTCATCGAATGTGATACTTTTTAAAATTAATTTATTAACATAACTCTGGACATAAATGTGAACACGGTTACATTAGAGGAGACTTTGTCTTGTTTCTATTTACTCAGTAAGTCTGTCTTTTGTGTTATTCACTGTTCAATTCTTGAGCCGCAGAAAGGTGACAATAATTTAATAAATGTTTACGCTGTTTACTTATTTTTTCCTTAATATGATAAACAGCAGTAGGCAGCTGTGATGTGAAATTGTAATTTTGATTTTTCAGACAGAGCAAGAAACTGAAAATCGTTGCTACGTAATACGAGGTAAATACTAAGACATGTAGCTGATTTTCTCCAGTAATGAACAATGATCTGATCTGAGAAGAGCCAGAGTCAATTGGCAAAAATTGAAATGGGAATTGTAATTAAATCGATGTCCAACATACTTAAAGTGCAGAGCTCTGGGCAGTGGTTTTTACTATTTTTCAAACCACTAGAGAAGATGATTACAGTTAAGGATTATCTGGGTTACTGTTGGTATGAAACATAAAAAGGATTACATATAGTTACTAAATAAACACATATAAACACGAACTGATTCTGCAGATGAATCCCTGAAACATATACTCACTCACTCACTCACTCACTCTTACGCCCAAACTCACTTGAGCTGGTGAGTACATGGTGGAGTTGTGGGACTTGTACGATCCTGGATGTGAAGCAGCCGCTGCGTGACGCATCTCGCTCGCTCCTTTTCCCTTTTCTCCTCCTCGGCCGCCACCTCTGTCCCTCCCGCCTGCCGTGGCTCCCGGCCCTGGCGCGGCGACAACCAGTCCTTTCTCTGTCCCTCCACCCCCACAATTAGGGGCGCCCATGCAACAGAGGGTGCCCTGGGCCAGCTCCAGCTCAATTTCTGCATCCATCTCCGCCTCCTCCTGGGCCTCCTTGTTGGAGTCGTCCAGGTGCTTCATCAGCACGGCCACCACCACGTTGATGAGCACAAACTGGGCGGTGAGCACGAAGGAGACAAAGTACATGGGCGAGATAAACTGAAGGCTTGGATTGCAGGCATAGTCCACATCGGTGCCGTGGTCTGGTGGACATTCACGCAATGTGTCCTGGTTCCACATGAGGGAGACGATGGAGGAAAGAGTCAGGACAGGGTGGGTTATTAAAGGAGGTTTAAACACGTAACATACAAATCATCAACATCACAACAACCCAAGACAAAAATCAGGCCAAAGAACAGGTTTCTAGAATGAACGCCACGCACATTCAGCAGCTTTTGTGTTTACTTGTATGTAACCACGATAAACTAAGAGTTATTTCTTATCGTTCTACGTAAATCAACTATTTTAACCTAAATTCTATCACAGTGAATTTCTATTCTGGTCTATTGTTCACAGCAGAGTTCAGTCGGAGCAGAACAAAAGTGACAAGCGATTTCTGGAGGAAGTACACATCTCACCCAGGCAGTGACCACACATAACGACGTCTGCCCTCGGAGCTGGAGCTGGTCTTTTATATCTAATTTGGAATGACATTTACACAGTGTGTATCTTTACACAACATCTCTCTCCACTGTCTCCTCTACCTTTCCATTTTTTTCTCTCTACACATTTATTTTCCTCCTATATCCAAATCCACAGCTGTGCTCACATTTCTCTCTTTTTTTTTTTCATTTTAAATTGAGTCTTTTTAATTCATTTTGAGCGAATAGAAAGCATTAGTGCCGAGCACTTTTAACTCCTCTCTTACTCTCACCTCCTCTTGTTGGGGGCTGTTGCTGCCTCCCTTTTCTACTCTGCCCTCTTACCCACTGGCCTCCGCCTCATTATTTCCTCTCTTCACATTCCCACAGCAGGACTAATAATCACACTGCCTTACCTGCTTCATACCAAACTGAAGCTGCTCCCCCTCCTTCAATCATAGTCTCATCCATCCATACATCCATCCATCTGTCAACATTGTCTTATTCTTAGAGACAGTATCTGCAGCTCCACTACAGACATCATCCACAGCATGTGTACAATGGTAACAATAATATAATGGTCCCATCCCTGTATAACAGTGTGTGTATAATGGTAACTCGCCCCACATGCTGCAGCTTAATCCTCGTTCTCTTTATCAGAGCTGTTGGTGGTACAACAGAAATTTGGACTGAGGAGAATTGTGCTTCGTGTGCGATACAGTCAGTCTCCCGCCCATCTGTACAGACATCTGTACTTCCAGTGCTGAGTAAGAACATTTTCATTTCATGAGCAGCTTTCACTTCAGTAAAATGCACAGTTCATAAAAAAAAAAACATAGAAAGTGTTTTTGTCAGAAGTTTTATCTCTGTCTAGATATTTAGTAATAAAGTAATTTTGTTAGACTGTGTAAAAATGAGTCCTTAGTCCCCGAGGCCTTGACCATTCTGACGGGAGAAGACTGGAATCTTTTGGGTTGTATTGATACAAATGACTGCCATTGTGTACCTTCATTATGCCATTCCAGTTGTCGCCCGTAGAGACTTGAAACAAGGTGAGAAATGCCATGCCAAAATTCTCAAATGTAGCGTGACGACTCATGCCCTCACATGGGTAGTCTTGATTACAAACTGAGGATGAGAGATGAGTGGAGAGAGAAGAGAAAAATCAGAAGAAGCAGCACTGATTGGAAAACGTTTTCTTTTCTCCTCGACAAATGTCACAGACTTTAAGGACTCCCTCAGTGAGGTAAATCTGATGAAAATATATGGAATAAAGGGGAAAAATTATTATTATTTATTTTCAGTTTACTGGAAGATTTGAGTAAACCAACAACCAAACAACCAAAGTGTTTACACCGTGAGTAAACAACCAAACAACCAAAGTGTTTACACCAAACTATATTATGACAAAATGTATGGTATAAAATACTTCTACAAACCTCACACAATTTAGAAAATATTTAAAGATACCAAACAACAGATCAAGGAAAGGAATAACTGCTTTTTTATCGACAGATGGTGAAGATCGACAAACTCTAGCTTTACACTATTCTCAATTTAAATGTAGCGTAATTAAAAAGAAATACAGTAGATACCATGAACCTACCAAGTTCTCCGAATAGCTCTACTCCTAAGGCGGCGTAGATGAAAAACAACAGCATGAAGAGCAGGCCCAGGTTACCCACCTGTCACACACACAAATATATATTAACAGCTTATCCTTCATGCTTCCAGACATTTGATACTTATCATATTTGTATATTTATTTTACCATCCATGTTAATTATAAGCACAATAGTCCATATGTACTGTCTCTGTCTCTTTACAGCTAACACACTGTTGTAACACCTGCATATGATTCCTTTTTTGTGTCAAATCTGTAAACTTTTGTCAAAAAAAACAAAAAACTGTCAGCGGTGCCAGGTGTGGGATTTGAACTCTCAACCGTTTGGTGATTGGACATGCAATCACAGCCCGACACTGTGAAATACCTCCTTCAACTGTGACTAATTATCCCAAATTTTCATCAACTCACCTGCCTCCCTCGGGATGAAGCAAAGGGCTCAGTGTTAATGAGAGAGGGATCAATTGGAGAGAAAGGAACTTGTCTTTTCTTTCTCCTCTACACCACCTGTTTCCTCCGTTTGCTTCATCCTACTTTTGATGTTGAAAGAAGCAGACGTTGTGTCTGTGTGTGTGTGCACGTGAGTGTGTATATTCCTGAAAGCCCTTGTGTACATAGCGCACATATTAAATTAAGACGACTAATTGTGTTTATATATAAATACCCAAATCCATACATTGTCACAGATATGATTTTTTTTAAATGCAAAAATATGTGCATATACATACATATGCACATATGTATTTGCATATATGCATTTGCACAGCAATAATAATAATTAGTGTGTGTGTGTGTGTGTGTGTACCTGAGAAAGGGCTTGGACGACTGTATCCAGCAGGGCTCTCATTCCCGTTGCCATCTTCAGAAGCTTTAAAACTGTGAGTTAGAGAGTGTACAAAGAGAGACAGAGAGAGAGGCAGAGGGAGAGACAGAGGGAGATTTTACGAGTGTGGATTTAGAAGGGAATCCCTCAGGTTTAATTACAGACTAAATGAGAAACATTCAAACTGAGGAAAGGTCGGTCGGTAATTTGACAAATGCGCACACACACACGCATGCAAATAAATTAGGACGTTTTTATGCTTTGCAGCAATGAGACTGATGTGTAAAGGTTGTCCACAGGTTAAGTGGTGATATTTCAACATTATCTGACTTGTAAGAGTTCAGTACATGTGTGAGGTTTGTGTGTACGTGTGTGTGTGTGACGTACCTCGTGCGATCCTCAGCACTCTCATAATCCTGATGATTGTGGGGTTGATGGGCAGAGCGGCGCTGATCTCGATCTCCTCAAGCGTGATGCCCATCACTGACAGCAGCACAATGGCCAAATCCAACTGGTTCCACCTGCCAATTAAATATAAATGCACAACTAGTGAGACACTCGGAGTTACAGACAGAAGCTCGAGCTGAGAAGGAATCTGTAAATATTGAGTACACAAAAGAATTTATGTTTCTTGTCCCCTGCTTCTCACTGAAACTGACAGTTATAGCTGCCATTTGTTGACCAGGGTGAACTCACTATATAATTAAGGACGTTGACTGCTGCTGTTTGTTTTATGTTCCCTCCCACGTCCATTACGCTGTGGAACATAAAACTTACATCCCACAGGCAACAGAAGTTACTGTGAATCTCAAATTAAATGCTCTGTAAAATATTTGAAACTGTGACATAAAAAAACCACAAGTAGGAGTTATGAAAAACACCAGTGGGTGAAGCAGAAGGTAGTAATTCAAATAAATTAATGGTTTTTTGGTGTTTTCACTGTTTCAGATTTGAATATTTGGGTAAAAACACATTTATTTTTAAATCCAAACCCAAAATGAAAATGCAGAACAAAACAAGTTTGTAACTTTTTCTCAACATAATTATTATCAAAGTATAAACAAGACAGAATGAGAAAAAAATGTTTTTGTTATTATCACAGGTAACACAGCGGTAGAAAAAAAATATAAATCAATTTCAAGAAAAATTCTACATTAGAAACAGCACAGAATTGTTTAGACTTAAATGGAAGATTTGTTAAAAAAAGAAAGAAAAATACGTCTAAATTGTTAATACTTTTTACCCCTTGTCAATAAGTCAAATAGTATTAAAATATTTGGAAGAATAGTTTATTGTGAATTAATTAAGACTTCTTTAGTCTTAATTAAGCTTTCAAGTTCATTAAACTTATTTTAAACCATCTTTTTGTGCAGAGCTTTTTCCGGACCTTCAGGACCTACCGTCTTTCTTCTGTACATACTGACAAAACTACAGTAAAAGTTAGTCTTTCTTCTGTACTACCACACATACTGACAAAACTACAGTAAAAGTTCCAACTTCTGCTAGTGGCCGTGTGTCTGTGTGTGACTCCACTAACCCAGTTATAAAGCTGGGCCAGGAGTCGGCCCAGACGCTAAATCACACTATGCACAACGACTGCTCACAGCTGCTGCTGTAGACAATACATAAACCGAGACAAAGTGCCAGCAGATAACTGTGTGATTAATTCTCTCCATATCTGTCCATTTTCTTCTCATCCCATCACTCTTTGTCCCGCTTCGTTTTCTGTCATTGCTCAGTCAAGCAACTACTTCAATAACTGTTTCTTCTTCGTCTGAATCTCGCACACATATGTCCTTACCTACAGTATGTCCACTGCCCCTTAACTTACTTCCTCTTTTTATTCAATAACCAAAATAGGTCAATGACATTAGACTGCCATTAAAGTTAAATCAGTCCCTAAATAAGTTTCCACCGTTGATTAGTCATCACATGTTCCTGGAGAGAAGGAGACATTAATCTCATCGTGAACCGCAGCCGTCCAGGGACAAATCAATTAGGCTGGCCAATGAGTAAATGAACGTGGGCGTGAACGGGCCACTGTGGAGGTGTGGGTCCTGCAGGGGTCACCACAGGTTCGTACAGTAAGAGGAAGGAGAAATAAAAGGTGACTATGACAGTGCAGTCCAAACACTGTGCTCATCGGGTGAACCCTAGAAAATGTGTTAATTTTAATTAATTTGTCTGAAAGCCACTGTTTATTAGCTGCAAATAATTTGTATTAATGATCTATGTGACAGAGAAGGCAGAACAATTAAATAAAAAATTGTTGAGGAAATTATTGTTGTGTTAACAATAGATACTCTGCAACAGGTTGCCCAACAGGAGGCGCCGTTTATGTGGTTTGTCTGGGGCTCAAACCCTGGACCTTCTCTGCATGTAGGGCAGATGTGTAAACAGGTATGATAATAATGTGATATTAATGATAATAATGTGTCTTTCTTCAATTCCTGCGAGTTTATCAACTAAACTTATACACTAAACGAGTAAACTGTGAGTAGATACAAAATCATTCTATTTCATTAAATATACTATTTTTGATGTTTTTGTTTGGTTGTCCCTTTGTGAATTCTTTTTAGGTATTTTTTTTATTATTATTTGAATGACTAGAAGACCATGTAGCAACTTTTGTAGAAATTAAATTATTCCAGTTATTTACCCTGATACCAGAACAAATAAGCCACAGTTCATTTCACTGGAAAGTGGAAATCTGTGACTGTCAAATACATTTGTAAAGATCAAAGCAAAGATGGATTTGTTCAGCAATTAACTGCTTGTTGTTGGCACTATTTATATGACATGGTGTTTCAACAGATTAGTGCGTGTGCAGGGAAATAAGTTATTAATGTTCGCTCCCCCCTCTTCCAACATCATCAAACACACGAGTAAAACAGAGATGAGACGCCAAGTGACTTTGTCATTTTTAGTAACATTAAATCTTCCGTACTGTGAGATTTAAGGCTCCTTATAGAGCATCCACTGAGTGGAATCTTCAGGCTAAAAAAAAAAAAACTGAAGAGGCCATTAAAAGGTGGTACATAGGCAGTCGGATGCAGTATCGTGTGGACGGAAAGGAAAACTCTAATCACGCTGCCAACTGTGGAGATATAAATACACACTGTAGTTACCTGTCTTTGAAGAAGCGGCGAAAGCCAAAGGCGATGAGTTTGAGTATCGCTTCCAGCACAAAAGTGGAGGTGAAGAAATAGTTGCAGTACTTCAGGACGAGATCCAAAGACTGGTAAAAGACAGGAAGAAATGTTGAAACATTGGTGTGTGTGTGTGTGTGTGTGTTATATCTAGATAATCAGCAGGGAGAAACTACAGAGTCAAAGTTTTTTTTTTCCCATTATTTGCAGTATAAAGCAAGTTTCCCTCAGGCAAATAACTGAGACTCCTGTAAGAACACACTGTGCCCTTAAGGAAGCACATAATCATTGCAACTAAATTACATTTGCAGAGCATTCATATATTCCTCTGGCAAACACATTTAAGGGAGTGTTAAATATTCATTGCAGCTGAAGATGGATATAATTCTACTGGCTGCTTCCACCTTTCATAAACAGAGCTGTAGCTCGGGGGCGACTGCCAAATGTCAGGACCAACTGCTGACAAACACAGTCAAGACCTGTGATATTTATCTGATGTCTGGTCAGTTGAAGAAATCCTGCACAGGCTTAAAGGTCAAATGGCATCTTATCTTATAATCAATCCCCCTATTCTGAAAAATGATATCAGGCCTTTTGTCATCACAGGTGAACTGAATGACGACATGTACGTGTACAATACAGCTAATCAGCAGTCTATTCACAGCTCTGCTGTATATGAACTGCAGCCCCTCACTGAACCTGCTGCAGTGTCTGGACACAGTCTCTTGGTGGTAACCAGTCAGTGGTGAATCAGAGGTTGAAGCCGTAGAGAATGTTAAAAAAAAAAGGGCAGCTGAATTACACAGAGACTAATACTCAGCATAATGATCTTGTAGGAAGCTACAAAAAAATTACTGCCCATTACAGGTTACAGGCACTGAAGGGAAAGCGAAACTAAAATTGCTCTCCTCTTTAAAAGCTCATAAATGAAACACCACTCACAACGGACTCTGCACACAATAACACGACAAGTCTCGCAGCCTTAGCCACATTAAGTAAAAAAAGGCCATGGCCATGCATTTCTCTGAGCCACATATTTTACAGTCATTCTTGTCAGTTCATGTCAACAGACTGCATCAGGTGTTTATGTGTTTGTTGTTTCAGGGACAGATAATTAACCTGGCGTTTCACACATGCCTTAAAGGAGAAAAAAAAAAACCACAAGATGCACAAAAAACCCCCCCAAAACTACACAATAAACGCCCACAAATTTCAGCAACTCTTCACGAGTGAAGTGGACACTTTGTTCCTACGTGAGGTTGGTTGTAGTGCTCCAGAGACATCGTGATGACGTTGATGCAGATGATGAAGGTGATGATAAGGTCCAGGTAATGGTTAGTGCACAGGGTGTGGATCATCAGGCGCATGTTGCCATAACTTGAATAGTAAGGCAGTTTTTGGGCTTCTGTTGATGAAAAGAAATATATAAATAAGATGATGTATATGCACTTTAATTTAACTGGCAAATACGATAGAGGGAAACTGATTAATTTATTCCCTGCAGTTGTCAGTCAGTTTTTTTTCTCATCTGAAGTTGAAGGTTCGTCAAATACATGCTAGGGGTTGAGTTCATATTTAAAGCTCAAAATGTTGTAGTGAAAAGAAATCATTTTCCAACAGCGTACATAAATGTGCAAACATGTGTGTATTGGAGCGATGTTTATCCGTTTTGTCAAACACCTCAAAACAATCGTGTTAAAGTCTCTAAAATCTTTCTTCACTACTCTGCTCTGAGTCTTCATTCTTACTTCTTCTTTTCTTTTCCATGCGTCGCTGTCGTTTCTCCTCTCGCCTCTTGGCCTCCTCCACCTCCTGGTGCTGTCGGCACTTGTGGAAATTCTCCACCACGACACCAACAAACATGTTAAGTACAAAGAAGCTGACGATGAGAAGAAAGGAGATGAAGTAGAGCAGCATCCACGGGTTGTTGTTCGTCACCGGCTTGGGTTTGATGTGGCGAAGATGTGATTCGTTTTCACAAGAAATCAAACAAGGGATCGGAAACAAGTGGAAAACAGTTAAAATGTGGAATGCAATCTGTGAAGAGAAGCTTTTATTTGTTTTAAAGTAAAATATTGTTTACTTGTCTACATACCTGTTGATCCACAGCCACTGAAGAGAAGCTTTTATTTGTTTTAAAATATGTTATGTCTACATACCTGTTGATCCACAGCCACAGCATCTAAGCCATGATACATGATGTTCACCCAGCCGTCTTTGGAGGCGAGTACAAACAGTGACATTAGAGCCTGGACGAGAAAAAAAAACACCCACAAAAGAAAAATAAAAAATCTGCTTCATCTAGATACACATGAAAACACAAGAAATGTTGGTTCTGTGCACTTGATGCTTACTTGTCCCAGGTTGTCAAAGTTGTACTTATGGTGAACCCACTTGTAATTGGCTTGCAGGCAGTCTGACTTGTTGGTAATGTTTTTGACATCAGGGCCAAAGCAGTAGAAGAATTTTCCTTTAAACAGCTGTGAGCAGAAGAACGATGACACAAAGTTGTTGATGCTTTTTTTAAATAAATTGACTTGTGAAGAGTCTGATAAGAACAAAATCTGCTGAGAGATATAATGAGATTGTTAAAGTTCAACAACAGCTGAAAAATGTTGAGAGAAGAGAAACAGCAAGATGCTAAGGGCTTACTAAGAAGAAACAGAAAAAAATGGACTTAAAACCGAGCATTCTTTAAAGACAATCGTAAAGAACAAAAATGCCAAAAATAGTTTACATGGAAAAAGTACAGTACATGGAAAACATATTTATTCTACCTGTACTCCGAGAATGCCAAAGATGATAAAGAAGGCACAGCAGATCAGGACGATGTTTCCAATGGGTTTAAGAGAAGTGATCAGAGTTTCCACCACCAGCTTCAGACCAGGAGCTCTGCTAATCACCCTGAAAAATATCATTTAACATATGACATACTGTATATACTTGTCTTTCTGCTGGGGAAACAAACACAGTTCTGATTTGTTCGAACCTGAGTGGACGTAAAGTTCTGAGTAACCTTAACACTCTCAGAACCCCTAGGATTTTGGCCCCACCAGCCATGGACACAACGATGTCAATCAAAGACACGAACACCAGAAATCCGTCCAGAATGTTCCAGCTGCTGCGCAGATAAGCCTGATCTCCCATATACAAACCCATGGAAACCACCTGAGGAGGAGAGAGAAAAGACCATCATAACAACCTGCCTGTCAAAACAGCATACTGTAATACCTGACAAGGAACAACACACACACATTTAAGCCCTTACCCTAACTTTACCCGTTACATACTGCCTAAGAATAATCCATAATCAAGCTCTAATCTGACTCTAATTCTAATGCAATCATTGTAATAAACCTTTAACATGAAAATGTCACCTAGAGGACAAGGGGTAGCACAAAAACCTGTATTGTTTATTTTGTGTACTGTATGTGCATGTATTTTTGTGTATACTCTGGTGAGGAAATACACGGTAGCTTGTGTGTTTGAGATCTAGCAGTGAGACATCACCGCTCTGTCTGTGCTAATAAACAGATTGCTGTGAAACCATTTGGCATTGATGCAGTGTTTTGACAAGAGGGTTGGGAGCATTGCATCTTCAAAAAAAAAACTTGTCACTGACATTTGAAGCTGTTTGCTGAATTTAAAGCTTTCAGAGGGATTGTGCGGTTTAGTTTACAAATTCATCACGCTGGTTGAAAGATCAGTGACTGGCAAACATTTTAGGCACAAATGCCAAATGTAAGCTGGGTGCTGAGAGCAAATTCAAACTCACAATTCTGAGCAAGAAAAAAAATGAACACCGTAATGTGGAAATAGATTTGGACCACAGAGAATTAGTATACACCTATATGGTATTGCTACACAGTTATGTTCAGAGGAATTATACAGGTAATAATAATAGATAAAAATAGGTATTGGTATCAGTACTCAGTATTGGCAATTTCACAAACAAAAATATTCATTTTTTATAACTGCAACTTATATATATATATATGTAATAAAAGCTAAAGGGCTTTATACATAATAGATTTAAATGTGTGTACATCTCTGGAAGTGTACTAACTTAACTGGAAATAGTGTTGGTAGAGACTCAAATATTAGACCTATTGAAATTGCATGGATCGATCCATTGTGTTTGAGAGCTGCCTCATATGAAAGCACACAGGAAGCTGTGCATCACACTGACCGGTCCTGCTGCGCTGTGCTCTTTATTTGGCTTTACTTAGAGGCAAAGACTGTGGCAGTGAGTCCTGCAGAGATTAACACTACACTATCAAACACACTGCAACACATATAATGGAGATACATGACAGCGAGGCAAGCAGAGACACAGGAGGAGACGTGTACAGCTTGGCCGGGGGAGCTGACAGGTGTGAAGCTCATTGACGGCCTGTGATTGGTTAATAATTGATGTTTGCGATGCATAATTGATGGACCACTTGTGCAGTAGAGACATTGGCGGCAAACACAAAGACAAGTGCAGAGGGAGAGCAAATAGTAGGAAAAAGTAAGGATGAAGTGGAGGGAGTCTAAAAAAAGGAGTGATGAGAACAGACGGACCCTAAGGAAGTGAAAACAGACCTTAAAATTAGAAACAGCAAACAGCGATGTGGGGGAGTGCTGGAGATGGACTGCAACCATAAGATGAGACTGGGCCTCTAATTAATGACATTGCATAACCGCTCTGTTCCAAAAGAACACTGCCTTGAAACAAGTAAATGGTGTGGGAACATTAAGGCTGCGATTCAGTGTGAGAGAAAATCAGAAAGACGCAGGATGACACAAACAGAAAAAAAAGAAAAGATGTTTCCGTACCAGACGGACACACACTTCACACAGGACTCATTTGTGCAGAGCCAGGTGGACAAATATTACCTTGAGTGTCATTTCGCCCACAAAAATGGCAGTAAAGATGTAGTTGGAGATGGTTAGAAAGACTCTTTCCTGAGCAGATGTTTGGGTCGACCGGGGTACAAACAGAGAGACAGAGAAGTCAGGAAAGTTAGGAGTCGTAAAAACTTCACTAATTGCACATTTTCTGTCAACTGCTGTCAACCTGGGAGACAAAGCTGCAGCAAACACACACAAATATACACAGTGAAAATTAATTTACCAAGCTGCCTTGTAGAATCTTAGGCCTCTCCAGAGCCACTGTGATGCAGTTGGAAAAGATGAAGGCCAGCACGACGTAGTCAAACAGCTTATGAGCGATGATGGACTGACACAGTTGTCGAAACCTGAGGTGAGACAGAGGAGAAGAATGAGAAGACAGTGGTGTTTTTGTGTTCAAAAACAAGCAATCCAAGATCTTGCCCTCTTGTGAGGTAGAAGGGTAGTGCGCTACCAAATAGGACAGATGGACAAATGCACAGACAGGGTCACCTGACCTCACCATCCTCGTAGTTTGATTTATAGAACCAGTGCCAGTGTTTACAGTATAGTATTTATGATTTTTTTCTAAATAGTTCACTAACAGAAAATATCATCTGTGACTGATCTGTCTGGCACACAGTGACTTTGAACTGTGTGATCAGTTAGTTCCACAACATCCAATTCATTAGACAAGACTCTGGAAATCACCTTGTTGTCGGCACACAGACGGTGACAACAGGGCTTTTAACAAAGCCAAATCTCATTTATAAAGCAGCAAGGAAAGCGCTGCCTGTTGGCAAGAAAAAGAAAAAAGCACTTGTCCTACAAACTCCAAAGACACCAAATGCAAATTCCGACAAATAACATTTAAAAACAAAGCTCTAAGAGAGTCAAAGCAAAGACCATTAATCTCTGATGTCTGCCCGGAGGGCATCACGATGACACTAAGGAATAATACCTTTTTTTTTTTTTTCGCAGTTCAAGAGGAAACAAGTGTGACACTAGGAAGTACAGTAGTACAAGTCATTTCCTTTAAGGAAACGACCTTTACTGGTTAGAAATGATAACATGAGTAGAATCTATATCTATAGTATGAACTCTTCTTCTCCTGTGACCCATCTACAGATCCACAGCGTAGCTTTAATCACAGCTGTAATTAGTACAGAGGCAAGTAATAACTCCGTGTGTTGATTCTAATCACCAACAGCTACACTAGTACAGACTTGATTGAAGAAAAATTAATGTTGGAAACAAAACACAACATGAGTATGCAGTACGACAAAAAGACACTCAGATGGCTGGAGAGAAAAGCAGAAAAATCACTGAAAATGCTGGAGTACAATCTCAACAATCTTTTCAAATACCATTTACTGTAAGACTCTCCGATTCATTTAGCCAGGATCCCTCAGACTTCTTTGTCTTACAGTGAATAGACTATTTCATCCAACCCCTATTTACACTGCTACTAATTCAAAACAAACTGCAATAACAACTCTCTCTCGGAGGAAAAAGACTCCTGAGTATGCAGCTCTGCTGGGAGACGGGAGTAGAGAGATTAAAGAGAAACAAACAGAGGGAGAGAGCGAGAGAGAGAGAGTACACACTGAAAATACATTAAAAAAACTTTATTATAGAGTATCCTGGAAAACTCAATGAAAAATATTAAATGGCTAAAATCATTTCAGAACAGACTCAGACCTACGTTAATGTTATGTATGTAAGTTTGAAGCTCAGCTCATGACATCATGACATGGTTTTAATAAATGTAGAGAATGAATACGTTTGATTTCCTTTGTTACTACATTCACATAAGGTCTGGTCAGATCTGTAGTCCTTTGTTAGTACAAGGTGACGGTCAATACTGTAATGTAGTGCTTCTCTGTGAGAGCTTGGGGACCTGTTCATATTGATATGGTGGGCCACAGCACCTTCACTACTACAGACTGAGGAGAAATCGTGTGTGTGTGTGTGTGTGTGTGTTGGTAAATGTAATGCTGCAAAACAGCAGATTTTTTTTTTTAAATGTAAGTTGTGCAAATTACACTTGTTATACTGTACAGATGGACATAACATACACAAGAAGCACACGCAGCCAGCGATGACTCACTTGTTCTGCGGAGAGAATAGGAAGACGGACCAGTCCTCCCGGGTCTCACACCAGTCTGGTCTGTACGCCTCTAACATCTTCTGAACGCGGAAGCACAAGCTCTGCAAGTACATTCATGCATCAGGAACCCAAGGAAACCACACAGTGTTTCTGTGCAATCGACATAAAATAGACACAGTGCTACCCAGAGAACGCTCTCACTTGGTCTCTCCACTTAAATTATTTACAAAAGTGAAACACTGCTATGGCAAGTGCTTGGAGCATCTGTAGAGAGTGCCATCTGTACAGCTCGCTCCCCCGCTGACAAAATAGTCCTTTCTAATTAACACTGTTTCTCTTGTATGCAGACTTGTTTACAATGAGAACAATTTGACTCCCATGAGTGCAGTCATCATATGAAGTACTGGAAGGTACTTCAGAAAAGTCTGAGGCTGCAGCACTGCGCTGGGGAACAACATGTGTGTAGTAACTAACGCTTCAGAAGGCCAGGTTCTTATAATGCTTTTTTTTGTTTAGATGCTTTGATGAAGTTTTATCTATGGTGTTTACTTAGACGCGTTGATGAAGTTTTATCTATGGTGTTTACTCTATCTGCATGTGTTCCAGTACACTTTGTACCAGAGGACAGTTCAGTTACATAACTCTGCTTCACACGTACTCAGGGGTGTAGATCTGGGCAACGAGGCTGAGTTCAGCTTCATCCAAGAAACTTCAATTCTGACATGTTGAAATGTTTCTTGAAATGTTTCTCTGAGAATACCACCAGTGTAAAACTCTGCTCCATTTCAACATCTTATTTGAGGTCTGCCCACAATGTGAAAGTGAGGGGACATACTGTAGAGTCCAGTGGGTCTGGAGGTGTTCATGTCCTAGTTTTAGTTGCAGCCCAACAGACAAAAAAAAAAAAAAAAAAAATCGACAACAACTCTGGTAATAAAACCAGGTTTTATCTTTGAAGGGGACATAATGTGTGCCTTGGAATCGACGACAACTTTGAAGGGGACATAATGTGTGCCTTGATGTCTTAATGACATGTAAGTCACACGTATTGGTCGAAAAATGTTTTTCTGACTTCACTGCCAAATAGTAATGAGCCTCTGCATGCTATGCCTCCAAACCCAATTGAATTTTTTTTTTTGTGATTAGTTTTGTTGCAGTAGATAACAATTTTTGAGGTATAACACGAAAGTTAAAGCCAATTTTTCTTGTATTATTTTGCCTCCGGTTCAGTGAATCTTATATTTAGACAGAATTTATAGGATTGACATCAGCACGGTCTCTGCCTTCAGCAGCGTGCTGCTTGTCTGTGTACAGGCCGTGGGCTGAAAAGCTGGGTCCGATTTTGTGTTTACATCCCTTTGTGCCGTTTTGTTTACGTGCGCCTTGAGGCATTTGCTGTTTTAACTGTGTTGGCAATAGTAAAAAAAAAAAATCTTAGTATGAGCTTTTAGCTAAAGTTTGAATGTTTCTGTGGATTTTTCATATCGTGGGGGTCACAGTGCCGCAAATTATACGTTTACGAGGTCCAAGAGGTTAATACTAAGACTACAGACACTCGTACGGCCTCTCTGGTCTCTGGCGTTGTTACAAATGAGAATATTATCATCACCCACATTAATATATCACAAAGTGGGTGAAATTCAAAATCCTGACGAAGTCAGTTTTGCATAATAAACATCTGATTATCACCAACAAACATGAAAACGTTAACCTACGTAGTCTATTTCATCGTCCAGATCTTCACGGTCCTTGTTACGAGCGTTCACCTGCGGGAAGACATCAGCGATCATTTGGTTCTGGGAGTTTTCTCCTCTGCTGTGTTCAGTCTGGTGTCTAGGAGGAAGTTGGAGCAGCTGAGACACCGGTGTCTTTCCATTACAGTCCTGATGTTCACCTCCTTGACCACCAAGACCATCGAGCCCACCACCACCTTCGCCAATGGTCACTCCAGAGAAACTCTTCTTCCTGTGATGGGTAAAGTGCATCATGGGGGGCTGTGGGTTATGTGTGAGCACTGCAGCATGTGGAGGTCCTGGGACCTGGAGCAGGTGAGGCAGCTCCAGTGATAAAGCCCTGCGGTCTCTCCTAGGCACAAAGTAACTTGGAAGCATAGGATGGGGGACTCGAAGTGAGTTGGAAGCTACAGCAGGAGGTGAGAGGAGAGACTCCTCCTCATCTGGATGGGCACAGTGGAGGTGACAGCGCGGTGACGAGGATGCCCGGGGCCCACGGATCCGAAGGCTTCCACCGACCAACCCTCCAAGACCACCGAGACCGTAGCCATAGAAGGGCCTTGAAGTAGTAGGGGTGAAGGTGGGACTTGCAGAGGGAGATGAGGAAGAGCAGGGACGGCCTGCTCCCTGACTGTTCCAGCTGGAACGACGGGCCCATAAGGCATAGGGTTTGGGGTGCAGAGAACGACCCCAGTTGTGGTATCGACCTGGGTACTGAGAGAGAGAAGAGAGAGAGAGTAATTTTGGTCATTTACTCCAACCAAAATATGTCTTTACAAATTAACTTGATATCACAACAGATTCAGATTTAGAATATACACATATAGAGAAATAATAATAATAATAATAATAATAATAATAATAATAATAATAATAATGAACTAATCAAATTAGAATCAAATTAGTTATACTCTGAGAGATTCCTTTATTTAGCTGGACACTAGTTGAGGTTGTTGTGGAAATTTCTTCATATGTATGTGGAAAGTTGAAAAAAAAAAGTTATACAAAGTGTTTACACATTTCAGTAACGAAGCAAAGACCAGTCAACCACTAACCCACACTCAGTCCTGAAGCTACAGTCCATACTGTTACTGTATTACATACTGTTACTCACCACCACCCTCTGCTCCAGGTTGGCTCTGTTAAGAGAAATGACACTGTTCTTCTTGGAGCCAAGGGCAAAGGTCAACCTCTCTCCTGGAAACAGACCAGCGGGCAGCGAGGACAAATCCAGGTGTCCATTTGGAGTCAGGCCACACATCTTGGAGTCTTGGAGAGTAAAATATAAAAGGTGGAAAGGACAAAGGAAATAATTAGAGGAGGAGAATTATTATATTATAAAAATGCATTTAATTATCACTGCATGTGGGGCATTTGTGAAAAGGCTCAGTAAGTCAAATTAAAAACTGTATAAAATGTACATGGCATAGTTGTGGGGTCTTTATGACTTTGACCTTGAAAATCTGACCATAAGAATTTATCTGTTTATCCTCAAGATAAAGTCACTGACACCAGGGAAGAAATTAAATCAAGAAATTGCATGGAGGAAAGTTCCAGTTGAACCACTCTTAAACACGGTGCATTCAGACATGACTGTTGCTGTCGCTGGCATGGAGAGACAGCTGTGTACAGACCTTGAAGGCATTCACTACCTGGAAGATGCAGGGTGTCTTTCTGCCTTTCACTTTCCTCAAAATTATAGGAAGACCTGTCATCGTCTGAGTAGGAGCGGTTAGCGTCACCCTGTGATGGAGACGTGAAAAATTGAAGATGGAGCAGAGAGAATTCTTTAAAAAAAATCAAAATCTAAAGGATTAAATGACAAAAAATGAAAACTGCCTTTACTCACCTCAGCCTGGAAACCCTCAACCAAGATGGCGACCAGTAAATTAAAGAGCACGTAGTTTCCAAATGTCATTAAAGCTACAAAATAAAGAGCAGCGCAGGGCGATGTGGAGGCCATGCCATTGTACAGCACCATGTTCCAGTCCTCCTGAGTCAGGATCTGGAACAACCACAACCACAGTCAAACCCAGATATAAAAACACTTGGTATCATTAATTTCTTTTTCTCAAAGTGTGATTTTGAAGGAAACTCAACTGTCAATTTAATCTGTATTTTTTACCTGAAAGACTGTGACAATGGCCCAGAGCAAAGAATCAAAGTTTTTTCTGTCAGGAACTGTGTCTCCTGCCTCTGTCTTTAGACTGAACTTGCAGCCAAATATATGCATGCCCAGGATACTGCAACAAAAATAAAGCGGTTAGCACGCCTGCCTGGGATGCAGAGTGCAGAGAGTCCAAGGTTCGATTCTCAGAGGAACCACATGCTTAATAATGTTAATCCTCCTCTGTAAGTCGCTCTGGATAAAAGCATCTGCTAAATGTAATGTAATGTCATTAAAGCTTTACTTAATACATTATTTTATAGTTTTCCTTTTTTCTATTTTGGATTCCTTCCACCTAAGTAACCCCTGCACAGCACTTACAGGAATGTAAAACCCATTTGATGCTCCTTAATATCATTCATCGTTTGCCATCATCCATCATTGGTTTTTCAACGTGATAATGCAGAGAGGTCTTAAAGTTAAAGTCCGAGCAAAGAGCCAACGTACATTAACTGCTCCCAAAAAGCTACCCTGGCCAGACGCCAACTGCGGCTCTCTGAAAATGGCATTAGCTGGCTGAGAGCTCAGATGCCGTCTTTCTCTGTACACCTGTACATTTAATTCCTGAGCTGTAGAAATAAATAATCAAGACTGTGTGTTGTGTACTCTGTGTGTGTGTTGTGTGTGTACAATATTTGTGTGTGTTGTTTCGGCTCTACAGGGTGGTAACAAGAGAAACAATCGACTGACTGCGTGAGGTTTTTAAAGATCACATTATTCATGCGTTTCATTTTTATCATCAATATCAATACGTGAAATTTACAGACTAATTTTGAGAAATGTAAGAACAACGTGGCTGTCGTTATTTGAATTTCACGGCTGACCTGCTGCACTGGCTGACTGATGTTGTTCATTAATCAGTGAAGTCAATGGTACCTCACTGACAATGGATAACAAGAATATAAAATCTCTAGAAAATGAAAAGTAATACGTAACTGGGGCAGTTTTGATCATAATATAGAATATTTGTATAACTATAATGATTCTTATGAGTCTATTTTATTTAATGCAATCTTCTGCTGACAGACACAGGGACTTAATGTTGCAGAAATAGATCAAACAGATCTGATATAGTGAAGTCATATTTGTGATGGTGTATGGTGTTCATAGCTATCAGTGGTTTGCACAGTAAATGCTTGTAGTATTTCTGGGACGCTCTTTAATGCTGTTATGGTTTTTAATTTTGTCACCATTCTTAGATTACAGTCTCAGATATAGACAAAGGGCTCAAGAGAGTGTAAATCTTCTCTTGAAATGAATCACTGTACTTCTGAAATTGAAGTACAATGTTTAAAAGAAAACCTAGTTTAGGGGAAAGTGAGAGAAGCTAGGCTTTAGAACACATCAGCTTTCTTCAACTGCAAAATATATACATTCAATGTTTAAAAATAAACCTAGTTTAGGGGAAAGCAAGAGAAGCTAGGCTTTAGAACACATCAGACTACTCATACAGTATATGCAAGTATATGAACTCATTCATACTTAACTATATCAAAAAGGAATACATTACTCCCTAGCCTGTTAACTTACTGCTCTCCTATATCATATCATATACTACTGTATAGCATAAAGTGTAATGGCCCATATCGGCTTCACTACCTGAAGATGAAGATGAAAAGCATGAGCAGCATACAGAAGGTGGCCACGTTGTCCATGGTCTTCATTAGAACCACCAGCTGCCTCCTCAGTGCAGGCATGAACCTCACCAGCTTGATGACCCTCAGCAGCCTGAAGGTCCGCAGCACTGACAGACCCCCGTCAGCTTGGCCGATGATCTCACACACACTACGTGCAGAGATTACATAAATGTGGAAGGGAGGGAGAAGATGTAGGATGAGGAACATAAGGTTCATAAATGGAAATTAATTTGACAGGAATAGTTCAATACATTAATTGAATTATATTATTGTTCCTGAATTTCTTGTCCTACTGATGAACAGATGAAAACAGGTGTTTTGTATATTACAGACCTGATGATAACAATGATGCCATCAAATATGTTGTAAGGGTTTCTCAGGTACTCAAAGAAGCCAAAAGCGGTCAACTTCAGGATCATCTCCAATGTGAACATGCTAGTGAAGACGATGTTGCAGATCTCAAGGACATTGGTCAGCTCGTCAGGCTGGGTGGAGGAGAAACAAGGGTCGTAAGAGACGTCACAAAACAAGAAAGAGAGAAAAGCGACTTTAACATTCTGGAATGTTCCTCAGTTTGCAGGCTAACTGGTGCCAGGTTTGGGAATGAGGACTGAGTATTAATGGAGCATCTGCATGTCTTACAGCCTTATAAATAAAAGCTTAATTGCACTACCACTAGTCTGGATATTATTGCAGTGGGGTTTGTACCACAGAGAAGTGATAAATAAAAGTAGAGAGTAGAGACAAAGTGAATATTAAACATCACAGCAACAAGAGATTCAAGAGCCAACACATCGATAACAAGTGTGTGTGTGTGTGGCTTCCTCCTGTCTGTGCTGAAAAACTCTGTCACTCTCACTGTGTGTCACTGTCAAACTGTCAAAGGGATGTGTCTCCCAGCAAACCAAATCAAAGAACATGTTTTTTTTTATATAAATTCAAAACAAAAAGAAGTGCTTAAGGGCAGAACTGTTAGAAAAGGAGGCAATTAAATTCATTCATTAGTGACTGGCACTTTGAAGCAGGTAAGCAGCTATAGAAAGATATATTTTTCCTCACTGCTCTAATCTGCCTTTATTTTTTTCTGTCTTCCAGAGCACAATTATCTGACAGTCCCATCTATCCACAATCAATAATCTGCTGTCGATCAGCGAAGGGAAAAGGGGGCGAGAAAAACCCTGCTGAAGAAAAATGAAAACAGGAGGAAGCAGAGGTGTTGTTTAGGAGTAATGAGTGCGATGGGTAAAGAGGAGAGGACGGAAAAACCTCCAATAGGAGTGAGAATGAGCACGAGTTCAATGGAAAGAAAGTATCTTATAAAGCTAATCCAATAAATTTGACGCCTACTGTGTCAATGACAATGAAAACGAGGGGTGGACAGATGAAAGGAACAATGTGTCAACCATCTCTAACAAACCACCGCACATAAATGATCGTAAAATCTATTGTCATGGGATGCATATTCAATCAGGTGCTACTGTAGAAGAGCAGCAGTATGAAATGCAAAACACAAAGATGTAAACAAACTGTGTCTATTTACATTCAGCTCTAACCTTGACCTCAGTCTTAAACCTTCCCCCAGCTGAGCCAAAAAAAAACACATTGTGTTTGAGATTTATGGCTGTTGACAGAGCCAACGTTCCCGATATCACAGTCTTACTCTAATAAAGTAGCATCACTCCACTCTCTCCTCACTTTGTCCCAGGCTAGGAAAAGGTGGGTCCTGGTACATAAAGGGTAAAGCCGTTTTTCAAAGACAAGCACATCAGCTTCAGAGTCTCTCCCTTCAAGTAAAACTGCAAAGCAGAAACATGCACCCTAATATAGTAATGTTTCTCTGTCAGTCTGCAGAAATTTTGGAAATAGAAAAAGCCCAGAAGACAAGATAGAGCGAGAGAGAGAGAGAGCGAGTGTGTGTGTGTGTGTATGTGCACATCTCTGTGCGTACACACGGAACAACATGAGGATTTGAGCTAAAAAAAAAGTGCTGTGTAACCGTCATCGGCTCTTCTTCTCCGGCTCACGCTCATCTCTTTCTCTTCCTTCCTCCACAATGCTCGTTTATTTTTAGATTCTTCAGAGATGAGAGAGAGCAACTACTCTGAACACTGTCAAAGAGTGAGTGGGTGGATATGGGGAGGGATCAATGTCACACTTGGTTTAAGGCAGGTGAAATAAAGGAAGGAGAGGAGGGAAAGGGGGGAGGACGACAGCATGGGATAATGCAAAAAAAAATGCAGGATTGTGATAGAAACAGGGGCAGAGAGGGATTTATGGAGGGGATGAGAGCAGAGGGAAGGGAGTAAAATTAGCAGGGGAGAGAAATGGGGGGGAGAGGCATAATAAAAAAAAAAACGATTTATGTAACAACTTTTCTTGTCTGTACAAATCCATGTAAAAAGTAAAAACCTCATTTCCATAAAGGTTGATACACTCACTTAATATGCAGCAAAACCTTAAAGAAAGGCTTAGTAAAATGCAATCAATTATTGATCTTTTCTGCCTGTCCACAGATTATATTTTTTAAAAATGTCCACTGTCCCCGATGACAGTCGTTAAGGCTGTAAACTATATTCTGTAGACAGCTTTATGCTAACATGACAAACAATGCCACATGTGCTCTACGCCGCTATAGGAAACTATTGTCAACATAGTCTGATAGGAGAAAAAAATAGTAAAGAAATCAATTTTGTCAAACAACCTTGTTCAGTTCTTTGAGTTGAGATCATCTAAAAAAGCAACTGAAAATTCTTTAAACTGTACAGCAGAGGATAATCAGCTGGAATCGACACTGTGGACAGAAGTCCTGTGCTAGCCTGCCTGCAGTCCCGATCTGTTTTCTATTGGAAATGTCTGTCAAAGACAACAATCAGGAACCATTTGTGTAAAGTATTTAATGAAGCAGGTCTGCGCTGAAACCCGCAAGAATGTGTACATTTCATTATCATATATGCAAAAAAAAAAAAAAAAGGTTTAGTACCTTTTTATGTGCACACACAAATACCCCTGTGTACTTTGTCTGCAGGTATAATGGGGTTGGCAACCTCACATAATACACGTGCCTGTGGCATGTACTCCTGGCAGGCTTTCTTCATTCTCTCTCAGACACTTGCTCTGAGGATCCAGGTCCGTGTTAACAGCGAGCTCAGCCAAATGTTTGCACCTCTGTCAGGAAACACCTTGGCACTGATTCTCTAGGCCTGAATGTCATCGGCTGTTAAAATGACTCCGGTGCTGAGGCTTCATCAGCAGTGATAGCAGCCTGTCTGATGAGGCTGGGCTGATTTGTGTGGGTGGGGGGGGGGAAACTGTCGACACTGCGGCCTGTCTGGCATTTTTAGCAAATTAATATTTGTGTAGTGGAGATGCAGTTCAGTGGTGATTAACTAGTGGCCCGCGGTCAAGATGTGGCTCGCTGAACAGTCAAATCTGGCTCACGGTTGAATTTTAATATCAACATGTTTGGCAAAAGTATGGTTTTTTATTTTATTTTATTTTAGTGCAGCCCCCAAGGTGTCTGTCCAGACAAAATCTGGCCTGACAAATATAGTTGTGACCCCTGATGTAGATGTAATTGTTATTAATATAAAGGAACCAACAGTTGGTCTAGTTACATATAACTAAAAAAATACTTTTCTCATTTGTATGAAAACTTCATTGGTGATACAGTACCGATAGTTAGGTCTTACCTGGTTATGATGCTCGATGCCCATGCTGATGGTGTTGATAAGAATAGCGATCATAATACCCCTGCTGAAGTACTTGCTCTCCACGATGCCCCAAAGTTTTTTTCTCATCTCAGTCCACATGTGTATCAAATACCCGAAGCATGTCCTCCTCTTCCTCTGCACCACCTCCTCCCCCCTCTCCTCCAAGTGGTTCTCCTCCTTCCCCGTTTCTTTTACAGCATCCTCCTGAACTTCTTTGCATTCGGCAGAGTCTCCCGCGGCGTCTGCTCCATCTCTTGGTGACAGTGCACATATGGGGCACTCGTCTGTGTTTTGAGGGACAGACAGACTGATGGAGTTGGCCACTAGCTGAGAGGTGAAGTCTTTCTTGCGATGGTGTTGACAGTGGGACGCTGCAGAGGAGCAGAGACGGGGGTAAGGGGTGGGGGTCGTTAACATAATATTGCCATGCATGCACTTGACATGCTACACAGAATAGAGCGCCTCCTATATATTGGATTTTTCAACACGTACTCTCATCATAACAATGTATTTTCCCAGTGA